GGAGGGCTGCAGTGATGGTTGACTTTCTACAACTTTCTCCCATCTCCCGACTGCATCTCTGGAGCTCAGTCACAGTCATCTTTGGGTTCTTCTGTACCTCTCTCACCAAGGCTCTTCTCCCCCGATAGCTCAGTTTGGCCGGACGGCCAGCTCTAGGAAGGGCTGTGGTCGTCCCAAACGTCTTCCATTTAAGGATTATGGAGGCCACTGTGCTCTTAGGAACCTTAAGTGCAGCAGAAATTTTTTTTTGTAACCTTGGCCAGATCTGTGCCTTGCCACAATTCTGTCTGTGAGCTCTTCAGGCAGTTCCTTTGACCTCATGATTCTCATTTGCTCTGACGTGCACTGTGAGCTGTAGGGTCTTATATAGACAGGTGTGTGGCTTTCCTAATCACGTTCAATCAGTATAATCAAACACAGCTGGACTCAAATGAAGGTGTAGAACCATCTCAGGGATGATCAGCAGAAATGGACAGCACCTAAGTTAAATATATGAGTGTCACAGCAAAGGGTCTGAATACTTATGACCATGTGATATTTCAGTTTTTCTTTTTTAATAAATCTGCAAAAATGTCAAATTCTGTGTTTTTCTGTCAATATGGGGTGCTGTGTGTACATTAATGAGGAAAAAAATGAACTTAAATGATTTTAGCATATGGCTGCAATATAACAAAGAGTGAAAAATTGAAGGGGGTCTGAATACTTTCCGTACCCACTGTATGCTCCCATCCAGACGTCATCTCTTTCAGGGAAGACCTTGCATCTTCCAACAGACATAGATGACATTTGATGTCATCTATGTTGTATTCTGAATAAAATATTGAAATTTGAAACTTCCACATCATTGCATTCTGTTTTTATTCACATTTTGTACAGTGTCCCAACTTTTTTGGAATCGGGTTTGTACATTAGTATTCGGCTAAGGTTATGTGCCACCACTAAAGGACAGCCTTACTGCGTGCTGAGAAGGAACAAGAAAAAGAAAAGTTATGACATATTTTAAGCCTTTAGGCAAAACTGACTTATTCCTACCATTTTATTTTTTAAATAAAATCTAAAACCTAATATTTAGTATGAATAAAGAGGGGTTTCAAATACTGTACAGAAATGCATGTAAGGATTTACAGTTTTCATTTACTTTGGCAAGTCTAGCAGCGCAGTTTCACACGCTGTCAAATATAGTTTTTATCTAAGGAATCAGAACCGAGAGATGTATCCATGCCATTATTTTTGGCCATCAACATAGGAGAGTACTGAATGTTAGGAGCAGTTTAATTTTCCTGACAAACAATACTATTTAAATTTATTCTGCAAGTCATCTTACAACAAACCATACACCTGCATCACTCTCATCCACTGCTGTCTGCAGTCTCATGGCGATTTTGTATTTATTTGTCCTGCTCCACTACAGGTTATTTTGAAATATTTCATCATGCTTGTTTTCACAATAAGAGTTTATTGCAACTACCCTTCTTAATAAAGATGACAGAAGGTCCAAAGTTGCTCTCTGCTGCCCTTTGGTGGAATATTATAACCTAACAATCATAATCAAACCATTAACTCTTAAAAGATCTGATTTGTGACACAGTGACATGGTTAAAGAAACATCACTTTTATTTGTTTCTGGACAGTCCTTTCTTTCATGGGTTCAATACAACATTACAAGTAGCTACACTGATGCACTGGAAAGTTTGAGTAGCATCACTCTTTCAGCAGCTCGGTTCACTGATCCAGGGGGAAGGTTAAGAAACTTTTTACCCAGAAGGTGGTGACTGATGCCCGAGGAGCACAAGACAAGAAATGCCCAAGAAAGTAGCTGTGAAGATTTTACAGAAACTAAAAATTTTTTATGTTAGTCAAATTTCAGTGGAATTTTTGTTTCTTTTAATGGCACCGTTCTTCTCACCCTGCTTGCTGATGATTTTTCTGTTAATATAATATGAAATCCTTTGTAGCACTGAGCACTGTTTGTAGTGTTTACAGCCTGGGGTAGATGTCTCCAGACTATCCCCGAGAAAAGACCTGGGGCAAGAGCCAATCAGCAAGTAAAAGAACAAAGTTCAGAACTGTTCAGAAAACAGCTGTCAGATCTAGAAACCACTAGCTGGACAGGTTTGGAGCTGACAAAAAGAACACTGCTGATTGGCTTTGTCCCCTGGTCAGCAAGGTACCTGTCCCATGTTTGGGGAGATTGGCCTGCCGGAAAAAAACAATCCCACTTGCAGTTTAAAAAATAAAACAAAATAAAATTGAAGACACAATATAGATATTTACACAGATATCTACAGAGTCTACACCCATACAGTAATGGTACAAATGGATCTGCATACACTCAGCCAGTGCATATACCCACCAGAAAAACTGGTTTGGGGCAAAATCTCACTCATCACTGATGTCACATCACTATAATCTACTGTACTGTCTCCAAAGTCACACATACTGGGCTTCATTAGGAATAAATTACACCAAATTTGAGCTCTTATAATATGCTTACACTGCATTCAAGCTTTGCCCTGCTGCGTTGTGCAGGTTACTAGAAGCCAGTCTTGGCTTGAGTTTTTTTTTTTTCTTTTTGTTCCTCTGAGATAAGACAGCACTACATGGACACTACAAGGTCGTGCCCGCATGTTCACTGTTACTTATTTCATGTACAAACCTTTTGGTGAGAGAAATGTCTAAGCAAGACTGAAGCTGAAAATCCAAGTATATTTTTACATTTTACCCAAATCTAATGTTCCTTATGTACCTTTTAATAATTATGGTCACACTTATCTGCATCAATATATTGTACAATATATGAAATGATTATTACTGTGACTGAAGAACCACACTCAGTCTTTATGTTCAGATAAATGACATAAATTCCAATTGAACTTGGTGCTCACATTGGGAAGTACAAGGCTTTCCCAGCTGCTGATATCCTAGTTTATTTTAACATGCTTCCTTCACTGACCCACTCAACTGGGCCCACCTCTTCTCGTTTCTGACTCTGTGAACTGCATTTTTCTGGTCCGCTCGAGAACCAGGGTTGAGCATTTCCATTCTATTCTATGTCAACGGATAGAGGACGTTTGCAACAGGAACATGTTGGCATGTAAACAAAACCTGGCACTTTTCAACAAAACCAAAAGCGATCTGAAAGGCTCAGGTTAAATACCAACAAACCTATTTCCTCCAAACTATAATCACATGACTCACAAATGAAGAAGAGGAAAGGCTCAGAGAAAATGACTTTCTCATCTTATTTGGCCAGGCAGTGAAAACCAGTTTTATGAGAAGGCAGGTACAGTCTGCAAACACTACCGAATATCCATCTTCATGCAAACATAAGTTGATTTCCCAGTGTTTAACAGACTGGAAAAAAGCAACAATAAACAAGCTAGGTGACAGAGTATAAAAGGTGTGATGACAATATACGTGTGTGTGTGTGTGTGTGTGTGTGTGTGTGTGTGTGTGTGTGTGTGTGTGTGCGTGTGTGTGCAGGAGTGTGTGAAACCAGGCGAAGCTGTGGTGTTTGCAGTGTCCTGTGCTTGTTTCCTCAGAGTGAGTCCGCTCCATTTAATGGCTTTTGGACACACTCTTCATTCAAGCGCTGAGCAACTACATCACACACCGCTGCAACAAACCAAATAACACTACATAAAAGTATGGGAAAAAAAACCTAAATGAACAAACTGGCATGAAGACACGACACCTCAGAAGGTAGGGAGAGCCGGGAGAGGCCAGTGCTTAGACACCGAGGTGGAAGATTAGTGGCGTTCAAAAAGTCAGAGGTTACAGTGGTCAGTTCATACCCCAGACAGTCGACATCCAACTCTGTTTACTAATGACAGCTGTCGCTACAGACTGAATTTCGCTCTGATTAATGTGGAATTAATCAGAGGCAAATCCAATCAATGTTTTACAACTGTAATCATCAGTTTTCATTTGCAGTAATTAATTTCAGCCAAAAAAATGCCCCAAACCCCTTAACGCATACAGTGTGTCTATATATATATAACTATTAACACATATCAGAGGTTTCCAGCTCAAAATCAACAAATGTTAAATAGGTGAGTAAACCTTCAAACTGTGGACACAGCTGTGGATGTGTGAGCCACATGTGGCCAGAATCCAGAGGTCTGGCCAAGTTTGAAACAACACTACTCATTCCTGTTAATATACTAAAACTGAAATTGTGCTTCCCCAAGGCATATTATACATTCAAAATACTATGTGAGTGCAGGTGTTTGTGTGTGTAGCTGTGTTTGTACTGTTAAATACTTGCCACAAGATATAAATTAGTTGCATGAAAGCAAAATGTGTGTGTGTGTGTGTGTGTGTGTGGCTCTGTTGGGCTCCTGTACTCAAGACAGCGCATTTCCGTAGGAAACAAGTGCACTTCATTGGCTCAACTAAGTTAGCCAATCACCACTAACAGAAGCCAGAGCCCCTGGGCCAGCCTCATCGCCGAGCCTGGAGTTTGCTTAGTTGGCTTAGAAAGTGTGTGTGTGTGTGTGTGTGTAGGTGTGTGTTTCTGAAACAGTGGAAAATAGAGCCGTGGTCTGTTCCACCTGCAGTGTCCTCATGGATGGAGGGGAGGGGATGTGGTTTCCACGGCGATGAGAATGAAGTGTCGCTAGAAGAGGGGAGGAGCCTAAACCTCAGCTCCTTTCAAGCCAATTTGTTCCTCCTCCTGTCAGTCACTGCTGGGCTTCTTCAGAGAGAAGGCAAAGATTTTGAAGTGGCTGCTGAGCTGTTGTACCTACCAATGAAAATATCCAAAACTTTATTTTGTGGCATGGATATGATGAAAAAGAAAAAAAAAAAAGTCTGTGTGTGTGCTCTTACCACTGATATGCCAAAGTGTATGTGTGCTAGTATGACAACAGCTGTCCATAGATAAAGCAGCAGTGTTTCATTGGTGACCACCCGGGTGACAGCTAACAACACCACCGCTGACATGGGCAGTAGGAGGCAGTTTAGTGCTTGGCAGCGGGTGTTACTCATCTGACACACAATCAGCTTACACTGCAAGACAGATACAGATAAAAACACATGAATACAAAAAAATGGATGTTTTGTGTAGTTGTCAAAAGCAGAAGATAAAAGGTGTGTGACAAATGTGCAGACACTCACTGTGACATTGGCGAACGCTGTCCCCACCATGATGTAGAAGATCCGGGGTTGCAGCTCGAGGATGTTGGATGGAGAATACACCACCCAAATGGTGGACAAGATGAAGAGGAGGACGGGAGAGAGGAAGGGCAGGAAAGCTTCATACAAGCTGCTATGCTTCAGAGTGTTACTGCGATGGGCCCTGAAAAACCACACAGGGTGAAAGGTTCATAGCACTGGGTGAAATAGCACTACTACTATAAAATAACAAAATGCTAATAAAAGTGGTACTAACTTCAGGATGTTGTAGAGGCTCATGGGTAACGTTATAGTGAAGGAACAGACTGAAAGTCAATGAACATTAATTACTGCAGCTGTTTTGGCAAAATGGATGAATGTTTTCAGACTGAACAATCACTGCTCACCGATGATCAGAAAAGTGAAAAGGTCTTTATAGAGGACGTGCCACACGATTGGCTGGTACCAAGTTTCCACACCAACCACAGCAGTGACCAAGAAAACAACGGAGACGGTCTAGAAGGAGAGGAGAACCAAGATGGCTGGTATGTCATGGCAGTAACTAAACATTCCCCCTAACAGCTGTTGTCCGATCAGAGTTACTCAAATGTAACTAGGCACAACAAGCCTGTCAAACCTAAGAGTCATCTATATGTTGGCATGGAAGTGGTGTGCATGGAGCAAGAGCAGAAGTGTAAGGCTGGATTAGTGAGTTTACTGCCTACGGTAGTAGCATTTCCCCACTGTGTGTGAGCCAGCCCTGGATGCCACTATATCAGAGCATAGGCTAACTTTAGCAGCTTTATCTTTTTTTCTGTATTGTATTGTGGATAATACCATAAAATTTGGTATATTAACATATTTTGAGTCTTCTTCCATGTGTCCTTACCACTTGGCTGATGTCATATCCCCAGGGCAGAAACAAGATCCCAGTGTTATATTTCTCCCAGTGAGACAGGATGAAGGAGAACAGCACCACCCACAGGATGTAATACAAGGTGGCCACGTCCACGCCACTCTCCCCACGCCCAAATATGGAGTACACGGTGGCCACAAAGAAGAGGCAGGCCCAGCTGTCCAGGCCATGGTCAAAAAGCTCCCCCAGTGGCGTCGAGGAGTTGGTGCGTCGTGCCTGTTTACCATCAACACCATCTATACAAAAGAAAGATTATATTTATGTGGATATTTATATAGGAACATAAACACACTCAAGATTAGTAAAGAAAGTGCTAAAAATTTTCTTTTCTATTTTACCTTTCCCATTTCCACTGAGCCAAAGCTGCTGCCCACACTCACATACTGTAACTGTACATGCCACATTCCTACCTCCCACCACTGACTTCACTGTCCCAAGCTCTGCTCTGGGCTACACACATTTCATCCACATACGGACGTATTCTGCAAACACATCTCCATAAGAAATGCCAGTTGGATTCAGATGTCTTATTTTAATGGTTCCCACAATGGCCAGTAAGATTTTAAACCGATTTTGGTCTGGTGCACACGATGTATGCACACGAGCAAACACACCAACAGAGAAAAAATAAAATCTGTATTAACTTTGCTGTAGTTATATTTACTGACTGATAGCCTGCGGACATCTGCATCACTGTGAAGGAAATTAATCTGGCACTGTCAGTGAGTGTGCTATACATACTGTATATATGGCACTTTTTCAATAAGCTTACAAACTTTAGTTAACACCAAAAACGGCAACACCATGTGAGGAGGCCAACTCAGAGTGCACCTACTGGAACACCTAGAACATGTCCACAAATTAATTGTGTTTAATGTTTCATCTTGCTGTGTAAATATTACTCTGTTAAAGTGACCAATGCTCCATGCACACCAATGATTTTACAGGATTCTGCTGATGTGAAGTCCTGTTGTTACTTGTATCTGGTCTTACCTGATGCAAGAACTACAGGACTATATTCACCTCCTTCATTAACTCTGTAGTCACATTTTAACAGATGATGACACTGCGTGCTTCTCAGTAGAGAAATGACAAAACACAGTTAAATATATAGTCATAGTAAAAAGAAAGTACACCTGGTTTCTGAATGTTGGTGTATTTTTGGGAAACATATTGAAATCAGTTGTATTTTTGTTGTCACCTGAGGTTATTTTGTTTGTTTATAGAGGTTAGTGAGGTTCAGACAGCTGTTTTTAGCTTCTGATGAATAAAAACAGATTTGAATAAGGGTCTTTTTACTGTATCTGTGACTGCACAACATTATGCCCAGCATTAGAGAAGGACTTCCCTATCTGGTTATGAACAGAGACCGATAGCATTATGCTTGTGCTTACTTTTTCAAGTGCTAGAAAACAACAACAACAGCAGCGCACAGGGGTAACAGGGGTTAGGACTCACCAAGTGTATAGGCCAAGAAGTTGAAGATCCCTGCAGCAACCCAGACCCAACTAGGCACGTGTTCCTGCATTGCAGCTGAGATACAAATAATTTAACAGAGACCCAATGAGAACATGAAAGCCACTCTTCTGATTTCACCTAATATAAAACTCATTTGTAGCATGTAATGGGTTAGCGATTGCCCTGCACCAACACTGGTAGTCATAGTTCAGTAAGTGATGGACTTTGCCTTAGATAAAACAACATGCCACGACAAACGGGGGTGGATTCAACAAACATTTAGTGGGTTTTGGAACAAAATTAACTGAGCAACGCTCCCTCAAACCCTCGACAAACAGTAAGTAGAACAGAAGACCTACCAGAAGCTGTGAAGTCAAAGTCAAAGAAGGCCAACATAAGAAAGTTGAACACAAGCAACATAAAGCCTGTGAATGTAATGAGGTTTGGAGCCAACCATGTTGGTAGAAACTGTTGAAGAAGACAAAAATAAGACAGTAAATATTTAATGTCTTCTCATAATAATTATTGACAGTAATCACACTTTTTGAATAGATACATACAGTATGTTTAATGGGTGTGTTCAATAAAGACATGAAAGATGACGACTGTTTGCTTAAAAATACTGTGTTTGTTATATTTGTGACCTTGGTGAAAATCAGTTCACATTTCAGGAGGTGAATATCTTGAAATTAATGTCTGATTGCAGTCAAGGAGATATTAATAAAAATACAAGCTTGATACATAGACAGGCACATGCCTTAATGCTTTTTCCAGGGGAGATTGAAGCATTTATCTCAGAGACGAAGAGTCTGTACATGTTATCAGGTACATGATGACTGCATTCAAACAACACAACATCTCCACAGGTCATTACACTGTGAGACTGACGTGTTCCGTCACAGAGACAATAAAAAGCAGTGTGTAAAAGGCTGTTATTACTGCATCAGAGCAGGTGGTCGGAAACCTCATTAATGATGTAGCAGACGCACACGCATGCTCACACACACATGTGCATACAGACAGTTGAATGAATCCTTCTTACCTTCACCACAAAATTCCAGAAAGGGTGCATGATATAGATTGACAAGGGATTGGAGTCCACTGCGCTGTACTGCAAAGCGACCGACACATTGATCAGATGCAATTAATATACACCAATATTTTATACATTTGGTTATTTTCTTATCAATGCAAGCAAACCAGGGCTTGCAAACAAAGACCATATGACCTCACATGTGGCATGTTAGCTGCATAGTTATCATCAAGCAGATCAAAACAACAGAATCCAGTCTCTGCAACTTCATACAGGCATGACGAAAATGTGAGTGCATACAATTTATGGAGTCTGTAAAGTTGTATTTTGTGCATTTTCTTATGATAGGCTTTCTAATTGAGTACATACATACTGTCTCTTTGATATTAATCTTTGGAGGGCCTTTTGCCAGTAACAAATTTCAGTCTTATTCTCATTCTAGTTCACTTGGAAGAGGACTGGACCTGAGTTACTTTCACACTGAGACGTGACAAAATGTAAGGGGAGACGAATGACAAAGAGTCTTTCACTCTCATGTGCTGTCCACTTGGATGCTTTTGTGTGTGCAGTTTTTAAGAAAACAGCCTGTGTATCAAAGACAGCCACAGTCCCTTCATTTTCAGGTGTTTGTCATCTTTTGCTCTCTGGTGCTGGCAACACAGCAGCCAACACAGGGTGTGAGTCATTTACAAAGCAATTACTGCTTCTCATGACAAACATCGGGGTTTGCATTGCAAGTCCCACTACTTGAGCATAAATCAAATTACACAATCAACAATGAGCTGTGTTGTCATTCTTGAAATAACAGCTGCTCCTTCTTCAGTCCTCAATAACCTCCATATATTTCCCCACCTACTGTATGCTTATAAATGAATACTACAAGGTTTGTGTGAAGAGCTGGTACTGTTGTAAAACTTTAGAACCAAACCAATTGGTCACTGGAGTGCGTAGAAATTTCCGTGTCTGCCGCCGCCCCCCTATTCTTGGTGGTTTCCATCGGTGTACTGCTTGAACATGAGGGGTTTCCCCGCTATTTGTCGACCACAGCAGCAATATGACTCTGTCGTTTCAGTAATAGCAAACATTACAGAACCAGCCTTCTATACAAAGAAGGGACACTCGGGGGAGGGGTCACTGAAATGTGTGAAAACGCCAACTAATGCTATATTTTATAACAAAATAAACAGATAAAAGGAGCCCTATATTTAGCTCTTAGCGCACATGTCTCAATATCAAGCACGACACGGTAAACAACTACACTTCCGGGCTTCGCTTTCAAAATAAGTTATTTACCAACCTATTTTATTCACTATGCATATCTTTCACATAAATCTATTTGAAATGGTAAAATATTGCTTATTTTGTTTTCTTCACAGGACTTTAAATGGTGTATACACTAGTGTCTTGCTCAAATTTGAGCCAGGCAGTGATTTTGTTTTTGTTGCTATTATTAAACCTGAACGCTATTCAATAAATGCTTAGCGAAGACAACACCATAATGTTACTCAACAACATCATGTTTATAAAAAGGATGAAAATGCGCCTAAACAGATTATGCAGTTATAAGAAAGTAACCACAGAAAAGATAAACTAACATTTATAACCCACGTAACTACTTTATTTTCTGACCAGCTCCAGCTATCTTCACACATCGTCATGATTATTATTATTTTGCAAGAGCGTCACCCTGCAGATCGTGACACCTAGCTGTGAAAGAGACAAGCTGTCATTTCAGTGGCTAGCTGTTAGCATATTTTTATAGTCTTGTAATCATACCTTGTATTTATCGAATCCCGCAAGCTGCTCCTGAGTGACATATTCGTAAAGATCCATGGTTGCACCGATAGCTGATGAGATATACAGATATCTGTTCCTCTAGAAATTAAAATCCCCAATGCCAGCTGCCAAGTCGAAGTACCATCTACCTTAGGGGCAATCGTTCACGCCGGGTCGGGTGATGTCGACACATTTCGTCCACGCCTACGAAGTACAAACGCCCAACTAAGTAAAGTTCAATACTGCCACCTCTGGCTTGGATGATTGTAAAAAAAACAAAAACAAAAAAAAAGGAGTGAAATGTTTTTAGTCGCCCAGAGGACATGTTTTAAATTAGTTAGGGTCTTACTTGAGAAAATTAACTCGGGTAATGGTCGCTGAGGATTCGTCTCTAGGTTTTAGTTATGTTAATTTATCACAAGCTAAGGTCTGCTCTATTAAATCTATTTCTATGGTGCTCTCATACGTGACGTGGATTTCCCTTTCAGCCGGAAGTGAGAGATTGTTTGCTGCTGATAGGTGAAGTGTCAGGCGAAGCGAGAGTAAAAAAGACAATTTAAAGATTAATGTAAGTAGCAATATTAGCTAAACCTCAGTAAAATAGGCATAACTCTATAATTTTGTTGAAGCGTTATATGTAGCATTCCCTGTATTGGTTAGCTCAACCAGAGTCGGTTCTACTAGTTAGCTAGGTTGACGTGTTCTACTCCAGATACCGGTGCGATTTTATGTTGTCATTTATACACGACTATGGTTTTAGATGCTTTAGCTTTTCTGTAAATCGGATTACACACTATCACTATTAACTGCTAATTTTATAAAGTGTTTTTTGCATATTTGAAATGCATTTTAATAAAAAAGGTTTCGAAGTGGATAATTAACGTTAGCTATCTTATCCCTGGGCACCATGCTTACTATTATTTTGAACATTAGTTTGTCGTGTGTAACTTCTCATATGTATAAATGGCACATATCTTGTGATTGCCCGTTACTTTAAAACACTGCAAGTCTGTGGGTTCGTGACAAATGTCATACCATCTAGTTTCAGATATTTGAAAATCTTATACGCTTTATAATGAATAGGTAAACACGACTTTATATTAAATGGATTGACACTTGCAAAAATATAACTCCATCTTTCAGTTACACAACATACAGTAGGCTATTGTGTGCCATGCTACTGTCAGTAGCTTTTCTTAAATCGAGCAGCGCTCCTTACACTTCTCTCCTTTTCGGTGGCAGAATGGTGACAGACGTACAGCTGGCCATATTTGCCAACATGCTTGGCGTTTCGTTGTTCCTGCTGGTTGTGTTATATCACTACGTCGCTGTCAATAACCCTAAAAAGCAGGAGTAGTGTCTTCTAATATGACTGGAGTGGTAAGTGCAATCTGTTTGCCTAAAATGGTTCATCATTTTGATGTCGTTTTGTGGTTACCACTGTCATTTATATTCCATTGTGCCCTTGAAAAAAAAAAATAGGTTAACACACTGCTAAACAGTTTTATTTATTCAATTACTTCTGGTAGTTAAAGGTATAGTATACTAATGACTAAAGGCAGCAAGTGTAGTTCCAATTCAGCAGATGACTGGATACTTGATCAAGGCGGGTATCACTAAAAATGTCAAGGAACCATACTTTAGTGTTTGTCAGTGACCTTTTGCTACAAACAAGATTTCTTTCCCAGGTTGAATACATGACCCTGATTAGTCTTTTTCTGCCCACAGGAGAGATGGGAATCAAAGCCACCACCTTGGAAACAACATTCCCCTGCAGTCCATTTTCCAAGAGATGAATTTCTGTTGTGTTAAGATTGCACAGTATTTTTTCGAATAAAAATGTCTGAATTTCGTTTGCATTGATGTTTCAGTGAGTTTAATCTATTCTACATGCACACTAGCCATACATTCTCATTCTGTGTATTTTAAAGTTAATTTTATCAGTATCATATCAGTTGCATTATTATTTGGTAATAAGTCCATCTGTCACTAGGTTTAAAACGGTCAGTTTTGGCTCCTGAATTTAATTTTCTCTTAGGCTCCTGATCAAACAGTGTTAAGACAGCAGTTAGTCCTACTTCACATTGTTTTATTTCATGATGAAAATGTAAGACATTTAGTCAATTCAGTGTGTTTTAGGTCTGTATTGACATTGGCCTAACTAGTTTTTAATGCCCTGTGTGTAATCTTGACTTTATGTACACCTGCAGCAGGTTCTCCTCCAGAATTTTTTTGTATTTTTCTGCATTCACTAGATCCTCTACCTCCACAAGCCTTCACTTTTAAGGATTTTTTTTTCTGCCTTATGCTCCAACTCTTTTGGTGTTTTTCCTCCATGAGCGCAATTTTCACACAGATACTCACTGGAATTTTTGTTACACTCCTTTAATTGGTACTTTTCAGTAACTTTATCATAAATTACTCTGGTATATCCCTTCCTAACTACCAGCTGGGCTTTCTAAATAGATATGTATTCTAAAATCACTTGCTACACATGGCTTGCCATTCAATACAAGAACTCAAAAATCGAACCCTTGATAATTCAGGTATTAAAATAAAGATGAATACTTGTGCAACTGATTATAGTTTTACAGTTTGACATTTCACTTTCTTTACTGTTGATCACTGGTAAAAACTCACAGGAAAAGTCCAACAGAAGATGAAGACCTTTATGGACATTATATGCAAACCACAAACAACGTCTACAAAAATGACATTAAATACACACTTCTTTCACATTTGTTTCTAAACCTAGAAAGGTGATAAGGAGGTGGTTGTTGTGCTTGTCAGTTTGATTAAAGTCAGCCTTTTGCTAAAACAGTATAAGTGGCTGACTGGGAAATCATACAGTATATATTTATCTGTGCCTCAACAGTATTGGTCATTTAGCATTTTGGGGGGGGCAGCATAAGGGAAGGAAATACTGTACATATGTGAGTGTACTTCAGTCACTGTCACTGAGGAAGGCACTTAACTCTCAGTTGTTCCACGAAAGCTGCTCAGTGATTATACTGGACAGCTCTTAGGTGAGACTATGTTCCTCTGAAAAATGTGAGTAATATTTAAAAATGTTGTATTGCACATTAATATATCCTAAATTATCCTCCTCCTGTTTCATAGATTAAAATGATTTGGATCACAATATGATAATTTAAGTTCACATTCAAAAACAGACACTGTATATATACACACAAGCACCTCCCCTTCTGTACAGGTCCTAGGCTTCTCCACACATGGTCACTGCCTCACGCATATTCACAGGCTCAGGCAGAGGTATCACTAGAGTTTCCTCAACCTTCAAAGACAACATGGTAAAGCCTGGTTAAGCCTTTTAATTCATTCATTTGTCTTACTGCAATGTTATCAATCCATCCATCCATCCATTTTCTTCCGCTTATCCGGGGCCGGGTCATGGGGGCAGCAGTCTAAGCAAAGATGCCCAGACCTCCCTCTCTCCAGACACTTCCTCCAGCTCCTCCGGGGGAATGCCGAGGCGTTC